TCTCTCTCTCTCTCTCTCTCTCTCTCTCTCTCTCTCTCTCTCTCTCTCTCTCTCTCTCTCTCTCTCTCTCTCTCCGCGAGGGCCTACATCAAAGCCAGGCGGTCGCAAAGCGCATTCCGCAACAACTCCCCCTCGACGTTGGAGCTCTGTGGCCGCCCGCCTCCGCCGCCCCCGTCAATGCCCAAGTCCACTCTGCGCCTGATGCCGTCCGGACCCACCTCCCATAACAGGTTCTCATCGAAGTCGATCCCCGCATCGAGGAGGATGTTGTGGAGAGTGCAGACGGCGACGAATTGATGTGGCAATGTTTCCAGGTTCGTCTTGTGGGTGCGCAAGAACAGACGCCACATGCACTTCAGTCGGCCGAACGCCCTCTCCACACACCCCCCCGCCACCTTCTGCCGGTTGTCGAAGCGCTCCTCGTCAGGACCTTGGTCTATTCCTCCATACGGCTTTACGATCCATGGACAAGCAACAGGATAACCGTTGTCGCCCAGCAGGTATCCTCGCGTGACGACACCGTGCGGCAAATTCTCTGGAGTTGCGTCGAAGAGCTCGCCAGTCTGCGCGCGCCTCCAGAGCTGGGAATTGTGCAGGACGCGGACGTCGTGCACACTCCCCGGGTATCCGACGTGGACGTCTAGGATCCGGAGATCCAAATCCACGATGACCTACGCCTGCACGGAGAACTTGTGGTTGCGGTCATAGTAGTTGGCAGAAGGTGCGTCGGCGTGTCGATGTAGATGTGTGTGCAGTCGATGGCGCCGAAGCAGTTCGGGAATCCCTTGTCACAGAAAGCGCGGAGAATCTGCGCACGTCTGCGGCCCACTGGCCACTTGATGGCGTCGGGGTACGCCCGCAGCAGCGCCGAAGTGACGTCGCGGACGACCTGCAGTCCAGTGGCCCTGTCGATGCCGAAAGCTGAAGTGCCACTCTCGTACGTCTCCCCGGACGCCCACCTGTACAACGCGAAAGCGATAACCTGCTCCGCTGGCAATGGCGTCCTGTAGTGCGTGACCTTCTTCTCCACGAATGCGGCTAGAGCGGCTACGATCTGCTTGCACATGGCCATCGACATGCGCAACTTTTGGCGGTAGTACTCGTCTGTGGCATCATCGCTTTGCCGGAGGTCCTCCCATGTTCCGCCAGTACGTCGTTTGATCCACCATCGCGGGGTCTGCCGGGGGAAAACGCCAGACGACAGCGCGGCACACAACTGGACCACTGCCTCACACGTCGCCACGCAATCCGCCGCTTCGGCAACGCTCTGCAACAGCGCTCGTCGTTTACGGAGCTGCTTCGCCACGTCTCGTGACAACGACGACATCTCGTTCATCGTCTTCAGGACGATGGTAGACACTGCCACCACCACCGCCTCCATCTCTTCCGCCCGCAGACCGTGGCCGCAGCCTCCGCCATCCATCTCCGCAAATCGCTTACCCGCCACACCTTCGCTCCTGCCGCAAAAGCCCAAGACACGCCCGCTGCTCAGCGTTGCCACTGGACACCACGCACACTGTGTGACCCATAGACGTCCCGCAGCTGTGCACTACCTCAGGAGATGTAACAAGCGCGATGCCGAAGACGCGCCCGCTGCTCTACGCTTCCACAGCGAAGGCGACGGCACGTCCATATGTGAAGATGCGCCGAGCAGGAAGATGCGCCGCGCGCCTCACAATTCCCGCGTACAGCAAAGCTGGTTACCCACGGCGAAGCGGCCGCCACGGCCGTGTCTTGTACGTCACACACATCGCCTTGTCGTCCTCCAGCCCGCCAGCGTGCGTCCGCCAAAATTCGTTTCAAATTTTGAAGGTCTCGGCAACCGCGCGCTTCACCAACCCGTCGGCAGCCGCCCAAGCCCCACCGCAGTGTGGACCACGGACACCAGCCAGGACTGGACGGACACCCGCGACGCGGCTGCGTATACGTGTATGAAAACGGGCCGCGGGAAACCTTTTAGGACGATTCCTAAAAGATGATTTTTAGGATTGCGTGTAACGATGCCGCGCGAAATCCTAAAAAACTTTTAGGACTCATCCTAAATCTTTTAGGATTCTTTTAGGAGTGTCTAACGAGACCCTAAGGATCAAAGATCAGTGGGTGTGGATCTCCCCTCCCCCACAAAGTGCGCTGGGGATTTGCTGTATTTCTTTAAGTTTTTTGTTTTTTTTTTTGTTTTCTTTTTCGAAAAGTTAGATTGCAAAAACGGAATGATGGGGCAATGCCATGTAGCATCAAAGATCAGTGGGTGTGGAACAGCGAACGGAGGGCCGATCTCCTCTTCCCCACAAAATGCGACGGGGATTCGCCTTTTTTCTTTATTTTTTTTTGTTTTTTTTTGTTTTTGTTTTCAAAAATGTTCGATTCCGAGGAGGGAATGATGGGGCGATGCCATGTAGGATCAAAGATCAGTGGGTGTGAATCTCCTCTCCCCCACAAAGTGCGCTGGGGATGTGCTGCATTTCTTTAATTTTATTTGTTTTTTTTTTGTTTTCTTTTTCTAGAAGTTAGATTGCAAAAACGGAATGATGGGGCGATGCCATGTACGATCAAAGATCAGTGGGTGTGGAACAGCGAACGGAGGGCCGATCTCCTCTCCCCCACAAAACGCGATGGGGATTCACTGTTTTTTTTTTCTGTTTTGTTTTTTTTTTTGTTTCCTTTTTCGAGAAAGTTCGATTGCAAAAACGGAATGATGGGGCGACGCCATGTATGATCAAAGATCAGTGGTTGCCATGTAGGATCAGCGGTTGTGGAACAACGAATGGAGGGCTGTTTTTCTTTTTTTCTTTTTTTTTGGTTGTTTTTTTTTGTTTTCTTTTTCGAAAAAGTTCGATTGCAAAAACGAATTGATGGGGTGATGCCATGTACAATGAAAGATCAGTGGTTGTGGAACAGCGAACGGAGGGCCGATCTCCTCTCCCCCAC